TTTTTTGTTTTTTGTTTTTTTGCAAAATTTCAGCTTTAAATTACTAGCCATGAATACTAAAATAGAAATTATTACATAAAAGATTAAAATCAGGCGTATTCGGTTTTTTTTAAAAAGAAAAACCGAGTTGGATTTGGACACAAGGGATAGTTGGAGGGAAAGAAATGAGGAGGAATGGAGGAAGAGAGGGAGGAAGGAAGGAGTAAGCTAGGGGGTGTGCGAGATCATGTTTCATGACTTAACAGACAATGAACTGATTTGCATATTCGCACGTGAAAAATCGAGAGAGTGAAGAGTAGTGAGTCAAGCGATATTCTGTGTTAAGGAATCAGCATGAATAACTCGTCTAGATTTTCATTGAATCTGGTAATTAAGATTAGAAAGAATATTGTATGTGCAATCTCAAGAATCTTACGTTGTGCATTCATTGGAGTCATTGGAATAAAATTAAAAGAAAATAATCGAAAATACATCATAGAAAAGAAGAAGGGGGAAAGAAGGGAGGGAGGAAAAGTATAAATCATCATGTTTATCTCACCTGACCAGGCGTGAACAAAGTACGAGTTTTGCGTTGCTTGACCACTGCTTTCCTCGAAACTGATGGCTGATTCTTTGCGTCACCTTTCAACGACAAATTCGGATGAACTTTGGTCGACTGAGCTTCTGAATTGGAGAAAACAGCACTTGAAACTTCCACTGATTGAAAAAAAATACAAAATCGTCAGTGTAAATTCGCATTTATATTAAGTGTTATCTGACTGCAGATCGTAATAATAAACAATTACTTATTTCATTTCTAAGGCAGATCCGGTAAACATGACATATTCTTAGCTATTTTTTTCTGTTTACCGAGAAACCGCGCTGTCTATGGTGCCTTGAACGTGAAATTAAAACTAAACTTAAATTAAGACTCTTGAAAGTCCTTTAATTCCTCGCAATAAAGAAATAATTTTACTTATATGTCCATGCACGCTATAGTACAAACACTAAATGTGTGCAGTAGTTGGTCTATCACAATTTAGCAGTAAATAGCACTAATTAAACAATAGAAAACAATTGGATTAGCTTAATTTAGTATCTATCTGTTCGTAAACTAAATACGTTTTAGGAACAGGTCAAAAACTAGACGGGACAACTGCAGAGCCTGGAAGTGACACTGACACGTATGGGAGTGCAGAATCTGGATTATCTTCTGATGAAGATTGTGAGGAAGAACAAATATTGGCTGAGCTTTGCTCAGATACTGATGAAGAAGAAAAACGTGGTGACGAGAGATGACACAGTAGAGTTTGATAGTAGAATGACAACTACTGTGACAACAAGATCAGGAAGACGTGCAACTCGTTTACT